TGTCCTTTATTGAAACCCCTTGATTGAATCCCTTGATGTGATCCCGTGTTTATGATTATTCCTTGATTAAGCTATTGTTGAGCTTATCCTTTGTTGTACACACTTTGTGTGGAATCTAGGTGTTGTTGTATCTCTAGATTCCGTGTGTATTGACTCTTGTTGAGATGATGGGTTGATGTGATGAGATGACTTAGCTGGTAAAGTGGACAGTGTGGGGACTTATGTGTGAACGGACCGGTAGTGAAGCTCTGGACTGCCGTTTGGTTACTTGCGACTTGTGGGCAACATGGGAAACTCATTCCGGTTGCCAGAGATGGTAACTAACCCGTTGAGCTTGGAATCTCAATAGGGGGTGTATACACTTAAAGTTGCTAGCTCTGTTTCCATTGGGCTGCGGTCCTTGTCATTGCGATGACACTTTGCATGTGATCTGGGTCGTTGCGATGACTACGTGATACATGTTTGTTGATGATTTGGAGCCCTCCACACTGATCTACTATGAATCGAGCCGTGGTGCTGACTGCACGGTATATGACTTGGTGTGATGGTGTCCTATGTGGACTTGGAACTCGTTATGGTGTGAATCTGGCCTTCCATTGCTTAAGAGCATGTCTATTGTGAATCCTTCGTTGTGTGTCGCATGTTGTACCTTGTTGTTGAGCTTGTTGCTTGTGGTTCTATTGTCTTGTTGAGTATGTTGGTCTTTGACCTTTGTTGTGAGTGATTGATGAGTCTATTGATGTTTCCTCTCTCGCTTTTAAAATGATATATACTGTATTCCCAGTTTCAAATGGTTTTGATTATATCTATGTATATTATGATACTTAACGTGTGTTGATGGGTTACCAGCATTATTCGCTGACCGGTGTTATCCCTTATCTTTTACAAGTTGAGTAGCTTTGGAGAGCGCGCTAGTGGCCTCTAGATAGATTAGATCTCTTCATTTAATAGTTGTTGAGGCTTGTGAGCCTAAGTAGTTGATTTGTTAGACTGTTTTAGTTGTAGTATCTGCCTGTGCACCTATGTTTGATATAGGTGTGCATAGCACCTCCGTGTTTAGACGTTGCTTCCGTTGCTTAATAATTAATGTTTAGCTTTATGTCTCTTGTTAAGCTTTTAAAAGTTGTTGAAAATCGGGGTGTTACACAAACACAGTCTGATGACAAGCTGCATCCTGCCTCGCAGGAGGGCTTCATAAGCTGAAGAAAACGTGAAGTTGCCATAAGGAGACAACTTCCACACCAGGCCATCCGTCGCAAGGATAGAGTTTTCATCAACAAAATCCTTTGCATGCTGCATTGTCTCCAAGTTAAAGAGGAACCGATCTGGCGCATGCGAGTAACGCTCTTGTAAAAAAACGCTCCAAAGCGAGCCTCCTTTCAAGAATTGGAAGTATAGTTTGTTGAGAACGCCTGCTATATTGCTGGCAAATATCGGACCCCCAAGCCTCCTTCACCAGTTGGCAAACAGGTATTTTTCTACACCGCCCAGTGTCGCTTTGGTTTGCTCTCGCTTGTACCCCAGAAGAACCTGGCGAACTAGATTCTAGCTCCTTCTATATCTGGCGAGTCAGGGTAACAGAAGTCATTGTGTAAAGAGGATCATTGAAAGGACATGCTTAATGAGAGTGAGCCTTCCCCCGGCGATAAGAGCTTGCGCTGCAGCTTAAGAGCTTTCTATCACCGATTCAAGAAGACTTTGATAAGTAGATTATCCTGTTTCGCCCCGAAACAAGTTCACTCCTAAATAACGGAATGGCAGAGAGAGCACTGCATTCCCAAAATCGCGACATAGTAGAAGCACTCCCACTCGTGTAGTGTTTGGAGGGCAAAAAATAACTTTTGTTGTAATTAATTCGCTGTCCTGAACCGACTTGGTATTGCGCTAAAACCTCCGCCAAGGCTTTCAAGGAGTTCGAAGATCCATTCGCAAAGATGACAATGTCATTTGCGAATTCCAAGTGTGAGACAACAGAATAGTGCAGCCCGACGAATAGGGGGTAAGCAATCCAGTACCCACTTTCAATACAAGCGAACGAGATAGTGATTCCGAAACCAGTATGAAAAGTAGGGGCGAGAGAGGATCCCCCTCTTTAACGCCCTAGTCGGCTGAAAGAAACCGCAACTAACCCCGTTGATCAGAACTGACAGTCTTGTAGCTTCCAGGTTGTTCATGACTCGGGTGATTAACGTGGTGCCCGGAACGCCAAACTTAGTGAGTGCAGCGAAGGAAGGGCCAAGAGATTTTTCAAACGCCTTCATCATATCAAGCTTAATTACAACGTTTGATCCGCCGCACCGCTTATCCAAGTACTGCAACAATTCGAAGGAAAGCAAGACATTGTTCTGGAAGTTTCGACCCTCTACAAACCCAGACTGCTCATTTGATATTAGCCTAGGTAGGATAGCAATTAGACGGGTGACCAGAATTCGGGTGAAAATTTTGCTAATAAAAGTGCAAAGGCATATTGGCCTAAAATCGGCGAAGGTGTCGGGATTGCATTTCTTGGGAATCAAGACTATTTGAGCGCTAGATATTGCGCGAGGGACCGGTACACCTGCGTAGAAATCCAAAGCTGCCATATAGATGTCCTCTTGTACTAAATCCCAACGATGCCTACAAAAAGCCCTAGAGAAGCCGTCGGGGCCAACAGCACTATCAGGGCTTAATTTCCACACCGCTTCCTTGACTTCATCTCGGGAAATTGGCCTCAACAGCGCATTAAGATCAGTCGTTTCCTAGCACTGAGGAAGGCACTGGAGAAGAGGTTCCATTTCTGAAGAGGACACTACTACGGCTGTTTTTTTTTTTTTTTTTACACATACACGGCGTTCTTAAAGTGTACTGTAAGTGACTGAGGTTGTAAATAAATACTTTATAGAACCGCCGTGTATGATACCTATATACGGCGCGGTTAAAAAACCACAGTATAATCATAAACATACACGGCGTAAAAAAATACAAAAAAACAACAAAAAATAGTCTATATGGAGGTTAAAAGTAAAACTGTAGTAAATACTATAAAAAGTTTTAAAAATTTAAAAATATATAGTATATACAACGGATAGTTGTATAACTGTCATATATACTTCAATTAAAAATAATAATTAAGGTATATACGACGGTAATTTAAAAAACCACAATCTATTAAGTGACGTAGTTTTAAAAAATATATTAGACGGCGGTTATTTAAAAAACCGCCGTCTATAAAGTGACGAAAAAATTAATTAAGGTATATACGACGGTTATTTAAAAAATCGCCGTCAAGTGACGTAGTATAATGAAATATATTAGACGACGGTTATTTAAAAATCGTAAAGTCTATTAAGTGACGTAGTATACCATTTATGTAGTAGTGAGAATTCGAACTTCTAAGCCTTGGGCCTATTACACTACCATGTGATGCAACCTTCATGGACTACATCATTTTACTTCTTAGCCGAGGTTTAACTAGAGAACTACTTGAGAATGCCTTGCTATTCTCAGTTACTTCATATTGGTGTTCATCAGCTTCACAACACCAAGAAGAGCGCATAAATCCAGAATTGCTAGTTTAATTGCTGATATATATATATATATATATATATATATATATATATATATATATATATATATATATATATATATATATATATATATATATATATATATATATATATTCGAGCTTTAAATTAAGTGGCGCAAGTTGACAATGCTTACTATCTAAGTAGTTTGGTTGGAATGAATAACTAGAAACTGTTGGTCAACCAGATTCTGTGCTTAAATTAAAATAAATCCTTTATTGAAAGAATATAGGATATACATTATATAGCACATTATGAGTCAAGTATGAGCCAAAACGGTTAACATTACTCTGCACGCCTACCACCCACTCAAAAGGTCGGCAACATACCACAAGGGGATATCAACTATGGTTGGAGATTAACACTAATTCAGCTGAGTGTGCAATATAGGGAAGATGTCTCTGCCAGAGCGGGTGTAACAGAAACCAGTCCAAATGTCGCCATTATTCATCTCACTGTGAATTATTGTGGAAACGTTTGTGCCAAGACTGTTCTAAAAAATACACTGAAGTTGTTGTGTAACGGGGTTAAACTGAGATAAAATTCTGTGTGCACATATGGAACTACGCGTGTGCCATAACTAATAACCGGGGGGAAAGAAAGGCATATGTCAAATGCTACACACCAGTATGTGCACTAACGTTGACCTGTATGTGCCATTAAGGCCGACACTACTATCGGAATGAATCACCACTCTTGATGGAAAAGTCTACACAAAAAAAAAGTATAAATTAATCTAGGATAAGCTAACAAAAAACATATACACTGTACATGAACGTAACCAAGAGAGCTAAACTATTATATTAACCAACTAGCTACGGAACAAGAACACATTGGTTATCTTTGTTCGATGGCATCATGGTATCCGACTACACTACAGATGTTATCGTAACGGTGAACGTTAATCTCATACGCCAAAATCTGGCGCATATAAGACCTTCTCAACATATCAAGACCCCTAGAATTACCCTTTTGTAGATCACAATCCCATGCATTCACAGATTCGCCCATAAAGGACTCGATATGCCGCATTGCAAAGACGCCACAATATAATCCACTTTGTTACGTGCATCACGCCAGCGCATCTGCATCCTTCTCCGGGTAATCCTCCGCACAACAGCCCCATAACGCTCATCAACCTCATCATCAAGGAACATAGACAACAAATCTTTCTATCAAAAGGCAAAGAGCACAACGGAACAATGTCAACTAAATGATATAGAGAAACCAACAATCAGGAGAAGACAAGTGTATGAGAAATGCGAAACATGTGTGAGTGCACTCAGGAAGGTATCTGTGTGCCATAGTGTCCAACAGCAAAAACTACCAAGCAGCTAGAATAAGATACAGTGTGCACCTAGGTTACTGACAAATGCTAAACATATGTTAGGATGAATAGTGTGAGCCCTAATTCCGGTTCGGCCAGCAGTGAAAGGGAACAACGCCCATTAAAACACCCAAGAAAGCATAAAGAAAAAAAAAAAAACAAATGCACAATAACCCAACCCACATAATCAGACATTGAGGTCCTCACACAGCACAAACTAACTAACACCAATAAACAAACCCAAACTCAAGGTTGGAGAAAAGGACAAAAGCAAAAATTGACATATACCCACCACCGAAACCAACTTAACGAACACATAGCATAAAATCAAACTGACTTAGACACACCCATCAACACCACAAACAGTACAAAGCACACCATAACAAAAAAAATAAAAATAAAAATAGCCCCCCATAGTTCCCAGCCACAAGCACACCCACACCCCCAACACAATGACCAACCCACAAACCCACATACCAAATCAAAAATTCACCCACACAGATTAAAAAAAAAAAAAAAAAAAGGACAGGTAACACGGATGAAAAGAAAAAAAAAAAGAACAAACAAACTCCGAACGCCAACCGTGCTTGCAACAAGCTAAACCATAATGCAAATCACAAAATCAAACAACTCTAAAACAAGGCAGAATCGAAAAAGGGAAAAAACGACATGGCCGGCGACAATGAACACAAACCCAAACCCTACACAACTACACACCCACCCCCAATAATAGACGGAAAACAAAAGTAGAATGATAAAAAAACACAGCAAATAGCTCATACTAGCGCATACAACGCAAATGAAAAAAAAAAAAAAAAAAAAAAACCGACCTTTTATGGACGACCTCGTCGCCGGACAAGGACGTTTGGGATTCCTACCATGAACGTCGGCCATCTTGAGAACAGAAGCAACGTAAGGCGAGCGAGAACGACGAACAATGGGATGCGGTAGTCGAGTGTATGAAGGAGTCCACCAAAATTTGAATTTACCGTCTGCAAATAGAAGCCTACTATCACACACTAACTAGCATTGGCAAAATACTAAACTACCCCCCATTGGCGTAAAATAAATCCATTCAGCGTAAGAAGTAAAACTAATTAAGCTATTAACGTATTAAAAAATAGGGACCGTCGATTGAGTAAAATAAGAGGCTACGATTAGTTCCTATGTTCCTACCTAAAGATGGGTTCTCATATGAATCTAATTCTATATATATATATATATATATATATATATATATATATATATATATATATATATATATACTTTTGATGAATGTCAACCAAGTATCCTAAGTAAATTGCTCCCGGTTGTTCAATCATTTGATAACCAGAGTCATTCTTTGATAAATGATTGCTATGAGTCAGACTCAATAGAAATCTTTTTTTCTGTCGTTAAGGTGGCGAGCTGAACCAAGAATTTTCTTTCTTCCTCATGAATCAAATGACTATTCGCGACCCAGGATTCTATTTTATCATCAATCCAATCCCCGTTCACATTTTTTCTTTTTCTTAAAATGTATAAGATAATTAATATATATAGTACATAAGTATATGTGCGTATTTAAGAAAATTCCTAAATATTTATGAATACACATTTAGTCAATTTTGTAATTTTATTTCTTAATTACATTTTATATTTCCTTAATTATAATTACGAGAATTGTATTCAGAACTAATGGTTCATTTGCAAACTTTGAAAATATTTTCCAAAAAAAAAAAAAAAACAAAAACAACAAATTATTAGGTGCTTTGTTAGGACAGCTAATTAAACTTTTTTTTTTTTTTTTTTTTTTTTTTTTTGTGAATTAAGAGAAAATAATATGCCACAAATTATATAAGATGTGTCCCACAAGAGACCTGGTAATTCTTTACATTACTTTGCATGCCTACCACCCACTCAAAAGGTCGGCAACACACCACAAGGGGACATCAACTATGGTTGGAAATTAACACTAATTCAGCTTCCGCTACTATGAGGTTAGGTTTCTCTTAGATTCTATTATAGACTATATTTAGATCTAACATTGTTAAATATGCATTTTCATATATAGATATATATAAATATATATATGGCTGAATATGGATGGGATATAATTTCTTCTATGTATAGTAACCTCTATAGTACGCTTATCTCTACTTATTTTCCCTAAAATGGCAGTATGGTTTCAAGAGGCTCCTAAAAAAAATACCTGCAAGATGGATCTATATATGACAAATGGCCATATATTTACAAAAGCAAAAGGGTTCAGTGCTACTTGTGACACTGGACTTGGATCTCTAGCTATTCCATAATATTTGTTGCAGAAAATTCATGAAATGTCCATATTTTTTCAAGCATATGGACATAAGGCACAACTGGACTTTAGACATAGACATTATTTAGAGCAAATTAGGACGTACTCCATATAACTGAAGATCGATGGACAGAAATAAATGTTGATCTTTCTTGTGCAAAATTAAAATTTTCTCTCCTAATTAAAATAATCTGTTTGTATTTTTGTCAAGAATTATCCTGGGGAGACAACCAAAAAGCTAAGGGAAACAAGTAACTGTACAATAAAACTCTGATCTGATCTTTTCTACAAAAATTTGTCTCCACTAATTAATCTAATTAAGCTGTTTGTAGTCTCTCAAGATCTACTCGAGCTAGAGATGATGTGAAGAAAGGTATCCTCCAAGCAAGGTATTGT